TGAGGGCGGGTGTGATGGCTGCTTCATTCACGCTCTGCTCTTAACACCTAGCCCACTGCCTGGCACATGGGGGACGTTCAACGAATATCCCCAAATGAACGAAAGAACTGAATGTTCAGTCGAATCTACCAGAATGTGTATATTCAAACGACCATTTGCCTGAATGGCCCGCCAGCCTCCTTACTCCACAGTCAGAGGACGTGTTTTGGGGGGCAGATACGGGCTCCCCTTCTCCCTCCTTCCTGCTCTGTGCTGTCTCACAGTCTCCAGTGCAGGAGACTCTAAAGCAAGTGCTGAAAAGGAAAAGAAAGGAGAACGAGGGGGCCGGTGGGGCTCAGGCAGGGGCGATCAGGGGAGCGCGGCCTCAGACATGAGAGAAGGTGGGGCTCCGATTGCCCAGGGGAGGCCACCCAGAGCCAGAGCCCGCGTCCACTGCGGGGGACCCTGGCTGAACACAGCCACGAACATTTCGCTAAGTTAGTGCGTCAGAAGGAAGGGGCTGTGTGTGAGCCATGTGCATGATGGACTTCACGAAACATACTACATTAGCCAGACAGCTGTGGGGATGCATGAGCAATGGGGGTGCCTGGGCTGTATTAACTTGCCTTCTCTACAACTGCAGGAAAATAACAGGTGTTCAGTGAGTCACTGTGGAATAAATAAATGGAGATTGAACTCTGAGGTCCCTGGTCTTTTACTGAGGTCAGCATCCGAGTGGGGCATGTCTCTACAGCTTCTACAAAACTGGCCTTGAAGACTGTCCACTGATGGAGAGGAAAGAGCACTTTGGATGTGAATCTTAGCCCCGCTTCTAACTAGCAGTGTGACCTTAGATCAGTTACTTAACCTGTCAGCTTCCTAACTTACAGAAAAACAAAGACTAACACACAGGATTTTTGAGAGACTCATATGATATCATATATATATATGCATCAGACACCTAACATAGTCCCAATAAATGTTAGTTATCCCTTCAAATTCTTTTACTTAAGGAGGTAGGCAATAGGTTGCACTTAGAATACAGGAAGAATAAGAAGTTGGTCTTTCCTTATGTCCAATATGGGTCTTCCTTTATGAGATAATTAGAACCATCTAGCCCACCTCTACTCCAGCTGCTAAGAAGTTTAGAGCCCAACTGAAAGGTGAATTGCTTCCTGGATATCTCATCCACTCTCCTCCTCTAAAAGGTTTGGAAACAACAAGCAGAAAGGTCAGTGTGAAGGGGTGGGGAGGAACCAGGAGATGTTCTGGCGATAAAGGGGCAGACAAAATGCATCAGGACCCCCCACCCCACCCCGCCCGAGGAGCCTGTGACTCATTAGGAAAGATTTGTGTCTAACGAATCAGGGCCCAGCACATGCTCTGGGGACAAATCTGAGGCTAATGGGCCTAAGTAAGTATGGTGGTGTGTTCTGGTTTACTCCAGAAAATTCTGATATATTCTAGTATCTCCTGGAATGAGATCATCAGGGACAAGAGAGCCTAGAGCGTGAAAACCCCAGCGTGTGACAGTAGACTAGGGAGGCCTCTGTCCCGACGGAGCCGCCTCTTGGCAGGGAGTCAGTCCTGTGCCCCTGGGTGGGAGACCAAGTCACCTGCAAGTGGAGCCGTAAACATTTGATTCTTGATTCCATTTAAAAAATTTTTAGGTATCAGAAGTCCCTTTTATATATCCTAAGGAAGAAGAGAGGCCAGCAAAAGCAACCGGGAGAGGAGATCAGAAAGGTGCTACCCTGGGAAGGTGAGGGGACAGACCTGCCCATGGCACTGAAGCTGCTGAGTCATCAATGAAAATGAGGGCCCGTTTCTGCAAATCAAGTTCCATTTCCCCCGAGACATCCATTTCATAAGAGAACAAAACTGGCTCCTGAGTTACGACAAAATCCCTCCGTGGAATGCAGCACATTGTAAAACTCATGCATTTTAACTCCACCATTTCCTGGTAAAATAGTCATATTATTCAACACCGAGAAGGAAGCTGATTCTTGTCCTTTTATAATTTGGCACAATGGCCATAAACCCAAAGGAAGGAAAATAATGGGCTTTAATGGCCTAAATGAACCAACATTCGTTTCTGCTCTACCACCGCCTTCCCTCCGCTTCTTCAGGAGGGTGGCTGCCAAGGCCCCTGACTCCGCTCACAGGAGGGACCTGGGAGGGGCAGAGAAGGCGGGGTCTTGGCGACAGAGGTTGGGACTCAAATACTGGATATGGCTTTTATTAGCTGTGTGATCTTGCTCATTTATCTTATGTGACTTGCAATTTCTTCATCTGTGAAAGGGAGATAATAATTCATGGCTTTTTGGATTGAGAATTAAGCAGAATAATGAATGCAGCTAATACAGTATCTGGCACAAAAGAAGCACTCAGAAATGTGAGTCCCCTTCTACCGTCCCCCTGCCGCCCTTGCTTTTTATTTTTCTTGTTTTTTATTTTTTTGAAAACGCCCTTGCTTTTTAAAAGTCAGTACTTTGATCTGGGTTGAAGAAAGGAATAAAACACAGGGAAAAAAAATTAATGGAAACACATAATTTTCTGTAACATGGAAACAGGAAATGAAATAGAAAACCTGAAAAATCTCAAAATTATAACTTAAGATAATAATAGTTAGCAGAGTCAGCATTTATTGAATATACCATGTGCCCGACACTAAGTGCTCTCCATGTAGTAACTCTTTCAAAAAATTTTCCTATTAACAGAGCTGTTTAAAAAAAGTGTGCCTAGCACATACGGAATGTAAATATTTATTGACTAAATGAATAAATAAAATGGATTCTTTGGGAAAATTAAGGGTAATATTTATTGTGTTCCTATTAGTTTCAGTTATAATGCACATTGGTATATTGGACATACTGGAAAGTAATTTTGTCTATAATTCTAGTTTGTTATGCACCTCCCTGGAGAAGGCAATGGCACCCCACCCCAGTACTCTTGCCTGGAAAATCCCATGGACGGAGGAGCCTGGTAGGCTGCAGTCCATAGGGTCACTAACAATCGGACACGACTGAGCGACTTCACTTTCACTTTTCACCTTCACTTTTCACTTTCATGCATTGGAGTAGGAAATGGCAACCCACTCCAGTGTTCTTGCCTGGAGAATCCCAGGGACGGGGGAGCCTGGTGGGCTTACGTCTATCCGGTCACACAGAGCCGGACATGACTGCAGTGACTTAGCAGCAGCAGCAGCTTTTTTTTAAGCCTTATAACAAGACCGTGAGGTAGAGATGATCATTATTCCCATTTTGCAGATGAGGAAACAGAGGCACAAGGGGAGTTGTTTAGCTAATGAGTGGCCGAGCCAGATTTGAACCTGGGCAGTTTCATTTTCTGGGAAGGAGACCCCAAGACTAAGATTTGCTGGAAGGCAGTGTATCAAGACGTATTATCTGGATCAACACATAAGTGAGGCCAGCAAAAATGGGCAGAGGGAAATACTGGGCTGAGATTCAGTTGCAACAGAGGTTTCAGCCAAACCCTTCGGCTTAGAGGCTGTTTTCGTGGCCCCTTGAAGCTGTCCCAAACAGAAGTATTAGAGTGGGGTCTCTGCCCTCCCGTGACCTGGTGCAGCTGTCTTGGGAAGGTAGGCGGGTGGCTTGGGGAAAGCGGCTCTCTTTAGTCCAGGCAGTTCCTGAAGAACTGTCAACCAGGAGATGTCGGCTGTCAACAATTCAGTGCCTGGTTCCCTGGCATCCACTTCGGTTACTCTTTGCCCCACTTGCTTTGAATAAACTCTGGGAGCAGCTCTTCCGGGATTCTGGAAGGAACTGAGAACTGAGTCCTTGATGCAGCAGCTGGCCCCGAGACCACCACTCATAGATACTGTCTCCTCTACTAGCCCCTCGGAGTCCCCCTCCTCCCTGGCAAGAACCTCTGCTGATTTTGGGTGCTTACTATCTGCCAACCCAGAGCCTCATCTGTGAGGGTCTGAGCTCCTGATCATCACACCCTTTGGGTCTACAGACCAGGCAGAAAATTTTGATTTTGGGGGCGGTGGCTGCCTCAGCCTCCTGGTGTCCATTCTTGATTTATTTGGGGTGGAGAGATTGCACACTAGTGGGCTGCCCTGAGGAAGCCATGTTTCATTAATCATTCCCAAAGATCTCTGCAGTGCAGGCCCCTTCTTCTATCGCTCCGATCCTGCTGCCCAGGATGACTGTGCCTGTGGGTCTCTCTTCCTTCAGGAGCTTACCGTCCCATTGTGATCAAGGGCCCAGGTCTGTAGCAGCATCTTCTACCCTCAGCCTGGGGGCGATGCTGGGGACCTTCTCCTCTGTGTTGCTTGGCAAGCAGGATGCTCGCTGGCCTTTCTTGTGGACCAGTCATCTGCGGGGCTTCTTCCCAGCGTTTTTCCCCCAGCAGTCCCATCGCTCAGCTTTTTGGTTCTTTCCTCCACCATCTGCCATCCCCATTTCTTTCTTTTAAAAAGAATTTTAGATATGGACCATTTTTAAAGTCTTTATCAAATTTGTTACAATGTTGCTTCTGGTTATTTTTTTAAAATCCTTTGGTCTTTTGGCCTCAAGGCATGTGGGATCTTAGCCCCCAGACCAGGGGCTGAACCCACACCTCCAGCATTGGACCTCCAGGGACGTCCGAGGCTGTTTCTTCTTGGCCTTGTGTCAGCCACCGTTTCCTCCAAACTGAACAGCAGGTTTGTACCTTATCATTTAACTCTCCGTGGTCTCATTTCTCATTCTGGCTCCCCTTGCCCAGCACCCCCAGAATCCAGCCCCTTACTCTCCCAGTTCCTGCAGGGTCGCGTTGGACGGTCCTACAGCTCCTCTGAAATCTTGTTCTTTTCCTCTCTTAGCAGGGCCTGTACCTCAGCAGCGAAACGCTATTGTGACTGAACCTTTGCGAAGGCCTGGTGGGCTTCCCGGTGGCTCCGTGGTCAAGAATCTGCGGGCAGTGCAGGAGACGCAGGCTCGATCCCCGGGTCAGGAAGGTCCACCGGAGGAGGGCATGGCACCCTACGCCAGTTTTCTTGCCTGGGAAGTCCCATGGACAGAGGAGCCTGGTGGGCCACAGTCCCTGGGGGCACAAAAGAGTCAGAAAACAACATAGTGACTAAACACCTGGTCTGCTGCCTGGGAGAGGACGTCAAGGGCACGGATCGTTCTCAAGGAGAGGCCTCCCCACAGCCTCAACTGAAGGAGCAGGCCACTCGAGCAGGCTGGGAGGGTTCCCTGGAACCCGGGGTTTCACGATCGTTCAAGGGCATCGACCTAGGGAGCGCTGTCCGTCTCAATCAGGGCTCTGACCTTGGGCTTGCAGACTTTGGGAGGCAAGGATTCCAGCATCCTCTGGAGCTCTGCTTCACAAAAGCCCTGGGTCTCATCCTCAGCTTATGACCGGCTGTAGGAAACGAGGCTCTCCTGAGATGTGGCCCAGCAGTGGCTCTGGCTGTCACAGTTAGACTTTAACTGATGACACCCTCAGCTTTCCACTGTCTTTTTTTCCGTGTGGCCAGCAGCCAGCCATCCCTTGTTCTCATACTATCTCTTTTCCCTTACTTCTTCAACACCTGCCATGTTGCACCCTCCAGTGCACACCCTTCCATCAGGACGCCGTCCATCCTGACTCAGCAGTGGCCTAAGTTTCAGTCACATGGCCCCAGCATGCCTGCGCTCACCTGCCACCAGGGATGCCATCCTCACTGCCAGTGACCCCGCTCTCAAGTCGTGTTTTAGGATCTGTTTTCTTGGACCGCCCCTGGTACCAGCTGTCATAAAGCTGGGTTCTCTGGGATGCAGACGATGAGAGATCTGCACGTGGGAAGCCTATGGAGCCTTGTTCTTGGGATCAGCGCAGCAGCGGAGGCAAGGGAGCAGGACAGGGCGGAGGGAAAGCTGAACTGTGATGCAGCTCGGGGAAAGCTTCAGCCAATGCCCCGCAAATTCCTGGAGCTGGGATGGCCCTTCAGCGTTGTCCTGAAATAGCCAGGGGCTGAGCCTTTATACCTCCTCCCTGAGCCATCCGTGGATGCAGTTATCCCCCATAGAAGGGACAGGACCTTGAGTCAGACAGCTCTCTGATTGTGAAGCAGTCCGCAGGCGAGGACTCAGCAGAGCTGTCGGACACCAACACTCCAGTAGCTGGGGAAATAGATGCTTCAGTCCTGGGGTGAGACTGGAGGGAGGTGAGAATTCGGGCAGTGTTCACAGCAGCCACCCAACACACCATGCTTGCTACCCATTAGAAGACAGGATAAGGAGAATACATAACTTATTTATAAAACAAGAGAAACTTAAAAAAAAAAGAAAGAAAATGAAACCTGGAAAACTAGGAAAAGAGAAATCTTTTATCAAGGCTTTTGCTCTAATCTTTTGGGAGAAGGGGGTTTGATTTTCGGACATCAGGGGTTTTTTTTGTTTTGTAAATAATTAATTTGATTGTGCCAGGCCTTAGTTGAGGCATGTGAGATCTTTAGTTGTGGCATGTGAACTCTTAGCTGTGGTATGTGGGATCTAGTTCCCTGACCAGGGATCGAACCCCAGGTCCCTGCATTGGGAGGGTGGAGTCTTAGCCACGGGACCCCCCACGGCAGTCCCTCAGACGCCAGGTGTTCTTTAGGCCAGGAGTCTTGTTTTCTGTAGTTGTATTATTAAGTTGGAGAGCTGCCTGGATTGTCAGTACTACCCATTGATCCCTGCAGGTTATAGGTATGAAGTAGTTTATAGACACTCAAATCACATAATAATTTGAATGCTCATAAATTCCTACCTTTTAACATCCCCCATCTTCTTAATTAATTTCCATTTAGTCTTCAAAGTGAAAGTCACTCAGTCGTGTCCAACTCTTTTCAACCCCATGGAGCCCACCAGGCTCCTCTGTCCATGGGATTCTCCAGGCAAGAACACTGGAGTGGGTCCATTCCTTTCTGCAGGGGATCTTCCTGACCCAGGGGTCGAACACACGTTTCCTGCATTGTAGGCAGATTCTTAACTATCTGAGCCAGAGAAGTCCACTTATTTTCCAAGGCGCAGCCCAAATGCTTCCTCTCTCAGAAGCCTAACTTGACACTCTCCTACCAGGATTAATCACCTCTGTGTTCGCATAGCTCTTTTCCCAGCTCGGTTTTCCGCCTTCATCCCATCGTGTTCAGAGTCATTTGATAGGTGGTGAGCCTACTTGTGAGAGGAACACAGAACACACGCTTGGCATATACTAAGATCCAGTAAGTGTTCACGGACTGGGTGATGTTTCACTGCAATTTCTTTAAAATTTTCATAAATTTTCACTGAAACTTAAAGTGTTACTGGGTAGCTCAAGTTTTAGATCATATATTTTACATCTGGGTAAATGAAGCGCTAAGTCATTCTGACACTAGCCAAAAAAAGAAGACACTGGCAACAGAACCTGCACATTCAGTTTCCTTTGTTTCAGTGATTTCCTGAAATCTACTCAATAATACTTTATCCAGAATCTTGTTTAATCTTGATGATGCATATTTCAAAGCTGCTCATATAAGTAACTCAAGTCATCCTTGATGCTAAGATAAACCCTAAATTTAATGTGGCAAGCGACTTCTTTTTTCAGGAATCAGTCATAACTTCAATAGCCATAATCAACCAGTCCCATCCACTCACTGGTATAGATTTTGGTATTTCCTCAAGTGTCTACAAGTCTTGGTGAGGAGCAAGACGGCAACACAGCAACATGGTAAGGAGCCTGGTAAACAAAGGTGGAACCACAGACACTCCTCTTCGGGTAAGATGTTCAGACGTATTATTGGAGTCCACACAGAGATAAAATACAACACAAAAACCCAACAGCATTTTCCAATGAACGCACGTAATTGACAGTCTTACTTATCCATGCTTCATAAGGACTTCCAAATGTCTACTAAAAGTATAAGCTCACGTTTCTTGGGTGCTTATGTGCTGCTCTTGTAAGCAGTTTACAGGCATACTCTTACGGATTTAACAAATGCAATACATATTTACATGATACTGCAAATTCCAGTTGGCTCAGTGGTAAAGAATCCGCCTGCCAATTCAGGAGACACAAGAGATGCGAGTTTGATCCCTGGGTTGGGAAGATCCCTCGGAGGAAGAAATGGCAACCTGCTCCAGTATATTCTCGTCTGGGAAATCCCATAGAGCGAGGAGACTCGCAGAGCTGGATGAGACTCAGTGACTGAGGATACACATGCAAGTCAGGCATGAGCTGGATTCCTGGCCTTCTCTGGGGAATCTCAGAATATTGAGGAGTCTTGGCTGGCTGTGTTCTCCTTTTGAAACAAAACAAAAATTTCCAGCCAGATCTATTCTGAATTGTGTGTGTGTGTGTGCGCACTAAGTTGCTTCAGTCATGACTGACTCTTTGTGACTCCATGGATTGTAGCCCACCAGGCTCCTCTCTCCACAGGATTTCCCAGGCAAGAATACTGGAGTGGGTTGCCATGCCCTCCTCCAGAGGATCTTCTAGACCCAGGGGTATAACTCACATCTCTAATGTCTCTTGCATTGGTAGGCAGCAGGTTCTTTACCATTAGTGCCACCTGAAAGATTTTTTAAGTGGGAAATAAGGTGTACAAGGGTATAGTTTCACTGTTATTTTAATCATTTATACAATCAGCATATGTTTACAACTGCCTAGTGTTGCTTGTCCTTGAGGAATTAGAGGGTGAACTTTAGCTACTTCAAGTATTCAGGATTCCTTTGTCTTTCTGCATTTGGCTGGAAGGTAGGGCACGATTCGACTTCTTTCTTATCTATAGGAAAGAAACAAATCTATATCCATTTGATGGACGTACCTGTCCACAGAACAAATGGATCTAATCTTGCTAGTAAGAAGTGAGTGAATTGCTCACCTTCTTCCTAGAGACGCACAAGCCTCTTGCTTAGAAGAGCACCAACTAGAACACTTGTAAAAATAATTTGCTTAAAAGCAAATTATTTGGAAAACTGGAAACAACTTAAGTTCCAAAGGAGCTCTTTTCTCAAGTAAATAATTGAGCCAAATGTGAAGGCGGGGCTAAGATGTGAAGGAGGAGCTAAGATTTACATGTCCGCAGGGCAGGAGCAACAGGAATCTGGAATTAGAACCATTGTTTGAATTCTTTTGGCTTGTAGGATCTTAGTCCCCCCACCAGGGATCAAATTCACGTCCCGTCCCCTGCACCGCATGGAGAATTCTTAGCCTCTGGACCACCAGGGAAGTCCGCAGCAGGAATTAAAAAAACGAGATCCTGAGATGCTAACGATGTGTTAACACATCTCAAAGGACAACGTAACCACTCAAAGAACAATCCACATCCAAGAAATGTACAAAACCCAGAAATCTAAATCACTTTTTAGGCACTCCATATTTCACAGTGCTGCCTCTATTTGGTTAAAGGTGCACTTGAAGCACACAATTATGAGCTCTGTTCATGTAAATGGTTCCAAGCACAAACCTCTCTGCAGTCTTCTTTTTTTTTAGTTTGTAAACAGCAGAAAGCTCTGAACATCTAATTTTTGAAATTCTTCTAGCTTTTCTTTTCGACCTTTGGTATTTGTATGTATTGACCATCTCTAAACCATTGTACAAAAACACCTTGAAGTGTCAAGCTTTAAAAATGAGTCTTCTTTTCTCTTTCTCCTGTGCAGCTTGGATTATCTTGGCCTTGTCAAAATACATTCTCTAGTTAGAGGCTGGAAATATTCCCCTCCTGGCTCCAAAGTATTGATTTTCTTCAACACTCAGCTCTGTCAGTCAGCCGAAGGGGGTGAAAGGTGAAAGTTCACCCAGCACTGCTCGGCTTTACCTTCCTATTAATGTCATGCCCTTTCCACATTTGATCAGTTTATGTGATCACCAATTATATAGGACTGTTGCTGCCCCTATTTTCCCTATAAGGAAACATTCAAGACATCGGCAGATATTCAAACGCTTCCTGGGATGGACGCTGGGCATTTGAATAGGGCCAGTGATGGTAGAGTCAACTCCTTTAATGCCTGCCTGTTTCTTAAAGAAAACTGTATTGTTACATGATGATTGACTCAAATTCTTATCTGAAAATCAGAAAAGAACTACAGTCACTACTTACATGGCGAACCCTCTGTGAGCAATGATGACCTATTTTGTTTCTCTTGCTTTTTCCTGAAAACCAATTATACCCTTTACCTCAGGGATTCAAATTCAACTCCAAACGGAATATTAAGTGAAATGGATTTAATGATCTCAGCCCAGCCCCCCACACCAGGGCAGCCAACCCATGTCATCAAATCTGACGAGATATAATTTGGTACAATTAACAGTTTATTTAGGAGCAATTTAGGGTGGAGATAAAGCAACACGTATGCAATTCCCTTGCCCAAGCCACAGAGGGTGCCGTGGAGTCTTGGCAGGAGAGTTTGGTCGTCACTTCCGCAGCCCTGGAGGACTCTTGCACGCTCTGGCCTCCTCTGTGGACATGTTCACCTTTCTGGAAGCTGGCTTTCCAGGGCAATGAATAACCAAACAGGAATAGAAGGCTTAATTTAGTACCAAAGGTGGCGGAGGGGGAGGATTTCAATGGAGAATGTTTAAAAAGAATGCACAATGTTTTTAATGAGAAAAACAACCTTCGGTACAGTTCAGTTTTATTTTAACACACATATGTACACAGGGACAGTCAGCACATTTAGAATCTGTTAAGTGACGTCATCAAGAGGCATCTCCAGAGGCAGACATTTCACTTCACGTGCTGGACGCAGTGAGTTCAAGCATCACGTTTTCATACAGGTGTCACGATGCGGCATCGTGAGCTTGGACATTACCAATGAAGCTACGCATACGTCTCTACGTTTACAAGGGCTGGTCCAAGTACAGCGCCAACAAAATCAAGAAGACACCAGAAGCATACGCTGGGATGACAATATAAGCTGACCTCAGTGCTGAGACGTCTGCGCTGTGATGAAGTCTGCAGCTGTGGTTGTTCAAAGAGTCAGGGAGAGATGTGTGGGAACGAGAATGCAAATGCTAGTGAAGCAGTTAGAGGTGACTGTCTAACCGGGAGCCACCGTCCACCTCGGCGTCCTACGATGGCTAGGTTCTGCCCACCAACAGTCACGGCCGTCTCTGCAGCCGGGGTGTGAGGCGGGCCGGGCCCCACTGCCCAGCTCCTCACAGCTTTCTTCTAAACCTCCGTGGGGTGTGCACTCTGTTCTTTGGGGGTGGCCTGCCCACAAGTCTCACACCTTCCTCCTGACGCAGTGAACATTTTGTTTTTAAAAAAAAAAAGAAAAAAAACTCTAAAGTTTTCTGTACTTCATCATTCCAAAGCAGCTTTGTAGTCTAGAATAAGTTAATCTTCATTTCAGTTCATAAGGTAAAGATGGGCTGGGTATTTGCACTGAAGACTCTGGAAAATCACTGGAAAAATGAGAGCCCCCCAGTGATCTCCTCGGGTTTTTCTGTCTCTATTGCACACAAGAGCACGCTCACCAAACCAACCAAGCCTATGCTGTATAGTTCTTAGTTTCTTCCTGGGAAGCTACATGTATAATCTTTATAAATACAATGTACATGCATGTGGCATAGATTCACTTTTGAAGAACACCTAAAGTCTAAAACCAAGGTATGGGATGGGTTTGCCATCACTAGACATGACATACGTCTTACCGCTATGAAAGAAGTGTTCTAGGTGACTTGATTTCCTAACATGTTCTTTAGAAGTCTGTTTCAATAAAACAACAGCTGTATTTGTTCCTGGACTGTGGTCATACTTTTCTGAATATTATATGAACTCTGTCAACCTCAATTTTTTTAAATTAGATGCTCCTTTTATCACTTTGGTTCCTTTGTAAACCTCATATTTTTTTTCCTGAATTTAATAAATTGTTTTATATTTTTATATTTAATAAACCATTTTGCCTGATTAACCAATCAACAGCCAACCAGCCAAATTCCCAACTATATACAGATCAAAGTTGGTAGGAGCAAGTCATCCAAAATATTATTTTATGGATTTTTTTTTCCCCATTACTATGAGCAAAGAACCAGCATAATCTGACAGAAGGAGAAGAAAGTGCCCCAGTTACAGTTTACTTAGAAGTGTGATGAACACCCTCACTGCAGTGCTCGTTTAGATTGATTGAGAGCCCCCACAAGGTGTATAGACGGCCGGCCCATCCTGTCCTCTGCCATTTATAGCAGAGACCTGAGTACACGTGGACTCCGGTATCCTCGCGGGTCCTGGAACTGACCCCCTGCAGATACTGAGGGTGGCTATATACTCCTGAATGCCTGTGCCATAGTTAATGATTTTCTAGGACACTTGTTTAAAATAAATGTTGTCTTGGTTTTCCTTTAACTGGTCAGTAGTGGTTTGAAGGCTGAATTTTAACTATTACATGATAGCTGACATATGGGAACTACAGGTCTGTGAAGTTTCTGGAAGGAAGGGGTAAGCTCTTTCTTAAAAAGATCTGTAGCTATAGAAACAAGAATCTTCTTTTCAGGTGTATGCTATGCTTCCAAACTTGGTTCTTTATGACAAAAGTCCATTTCAAAGATCAGTTCTAGTGACTAGATGATTATATTAACTAGATCGTCAGTAGTGATGATTTTGATTTTTAACTACTAAATATAGCATTACTTGAGCAGGATATGAGCATTTTGGAAGGCTGGGTGTCCAGGAAACTATTCTCCAGGAAAATCTGTGTGTGTCTGTGTGTGTACTTTCTCATTAATCGCCAGTTGGTTAGGTGTTAAAAAAGAAGGTAGTGGCTAAACCCTAGGAAATTAGATTGAGTAATTTCTGAGCAATCTCCCAGAAAGGAAAAAAAAAGAGAGAGAGAGATCATGTAAACACAGAATCCTTCTGGTAAACGATAGCATCTTTTAGGAAATCCAAAGGAAAATAGTATCAATGATTAGGACTGCCACACGACCATAAAACCCAGTTCGGAACGACCAGGTCCCCACCGCGTTCGGAGGTGGGGTTCAGCGCTTGGAAACTGCTGATCTGGGCTGGCAGTGCAATCACAGTGGTTATTGATTTTCGGGCTTCCGGCGCACCGAGCAACAGGACCCAGCCGCCCCTCCCGGTGCGGGGGTGGGGGTGGGGGGAGACAGCCTGGGGACACGGCGGCCGGTCCTGTGGGGCCGCGGGCCGCCCCAGTCCGTGGGGGCGGGGGCGGGAGGACACAGACCCCGCTGCTCCTGATGACCCCGGCGCGGGGTGGGGGGCTGGGGCCGAGGGAGGGGGGACTCTGGGCTTGGAGACCTGGGAGACGGAGCTCGCGGCCTGCAGCCCTAGACCATGAAGCGGTGCTCCTTGCCGTCGTGGGCCATGAGGATGACGTTGCGGTTGGACGTCCAGATGAGCCGGGCCAGCCGCAGGGCGTTGTGTGAGCCGGGGGAGGCGGGCTGCACTGGGGGCACCTGGTAGGTCTTGATGCAGCGCAGCTGGGGTGCCGAGTTCAGCATGCCGATGCTCCCCAACAGGGACGTGTTCATCTGGGGGGACACAGGGACGGGGGGCACGCACGTCACCCACGGAGCCGCTGCCCCTTCCCCGCCGCACGGGGCAGGCCCCAGGGACACAGCCCTGTGGTCACCTTCTCCTCCGCCACTGGACTCAGGGTCATGTAAGGGTTGGTTCCCAACCTCTGAGGGCTCCCTCCAGTGTGAGTGGAAGTTGTTCTGATGCTGTTACAGGAAATGCATAAATCCAGAGAAATTTTACCTGCTGGGTAGAACTGGACAGCAGGAAAGCCATCCGTCTTTTTTTTTTTGCTCTCTTTTTTAACGGCACTACCTGCTGTGGCAGGGTTGTCCCCATTTTTTATTTTTGGCTGCGCAGCAGGTATGATCTTAGTTCCCCCACCAGGGATGGAACCCGTACCGCTTGCACTGGAAGTGCCGAGTCTTAACCATTGGACCTCCAGGGAAGACTTCCCCCTTCCCCCCAACCATTTTTATGAAGGGAGCTAAGCGATATATTTTAATAAAATGGTTCAATCAGACAGTACTTGGAAACTGTGGGTATTTCAAATGGCAGGCTTTTCTGGCTCTTTAGTAACAGTGCTCCCTGCACCCCCTGCAGAATGAGCCCCGAAGACCAGTCTGGGGCCTTGGTTGGAGAAAATGAAGTGAAGTGAAGTAGCAGACAGAATAACAAGTGAACCAGATCGAAACTCAAAACTCACCGCCTTTCCCAGCTCCACTGACCACACCTTCCCTCCTCACCTGCTTTAACCACATTCAGTTTCTGGAAAGCTCTAGTTTATTTTGAAGGAAAAAGCAAGAATCAACCACTTCTCAACACTGCACATGGGGCCCACTGCTCTGCTGCTAAAAAGAGCACACTCTAATACCTTACTTGCAGGGCGTGTTCCATCAGGTGGTGATTTCTGCCTTTTCTGGGTGGCTTTTTTGGCTCTGACTGGAATTTGAGGTTCTCTTCATCCATTCATGTAAATGGAACATAATGTGGAGATTGAGGCTCATGAACAACTGTGCATTCAGGTCAAAGTACTGAATGCTGAATGGCAGTTATCTAAGTGAACCGTCATCTGAGTGACTGAGTCTGATGAAACCTTTAGCTTCTAAGTATTACTTAACACTTTTTCGGTATTCATCTTTGGTGCTACTGATCCACGAGTCCCGTGGCAGGCACATGGACGGTCAGGTCAGGAAAGTGGTCTTGGAAATGACGTTGTTTTTTGCACTGATTTGTGTGCCCAGTTCTCTCCAGCAGCACCTCCACCTGCATGGACGTGACACTCGGATTTGTGGGGGGCATGCAGATGATGCTCCAGTGTGTCCAGAGGCTGACACGGGAAACCTGGGCAGCTCCTAGGACACTGAAGGTGTGTTACTGCCCTGTGTCTGGATCACTGCAAAACGGAAGCCATTCCTTTCCCTGGCTGTTCTCAGCAGCGGGATGGTGTCAGGGGGTGTAAATCACACCATCTCTGGCAGGACGCGTGCAGGCTCTGCTGACATTTTCACAATTTAAATCATCTTGAGTAATAACCCTTTTAAGATGACTAATGTTACTGATTTTCCTGCATTAATAATAGTGCCGAACACAACACAGAGGTGAAAAAAAATCACTAGTGTACGAGGTCACATTTTAAAACCAAATGTATGATTATCATTAACTCTTTCTGTTAAGGGACAGTTAACATTTCAAGCCAGGAGGTGCCTTCCGGCCTCTTCTTAGCGGCTCTTTCCTGTGTTCTGCTCTCTCTTTCCTAGAAACTCCATAAAAGATAAAATCCAGGGCCTTATTGCTTTCTGGAGATCCCCAAATAGTTTAAATACAAATAATGATGGTGAGCTTGATTTGCTAGTTCTCACAGGTACAAAGAGTAACAGGCCATCATCATCTACTTCTCTTACAGAACAGATCCAAACGATCCCGCAAACCACTGGTTAAAATGAACTGGCATCAACAGGCATACAGTGCTTTTAAAAAAAATCTAATTTCTCAGTTGATAAATAACTACAAAGTATTTTTCATTCTTTATGGATTTTCTATGAAAATATGTAGGAGGCTTGATTTCTGCTGGTGGCTCAAAATGCTAGGGGCGTCCAATAGGCTCAGACACAGCCTTATTTTTTAATTCCTTCCTTCAGCTTTAGCCATGGACAAAAAATAGGTTGAAGGCAAAAGGGGATAGGAAGAGAATATCTTACTGGAATGTGATGGATGGAAAGATTCCCCCCCCCAAATACCATGATTATATCTGGGTTCTCCTCAAAAGTTGAGCCATCCTTCAGATGACTGATGGATGCCTTTGGTAGGGTTGAACAGCCTTCCTGCCTCAGAACAGGGCTACGTGAAATTCTGCAGAGTACATAATGATGATAGTAGAAAACAGTTGGAAAGATAAATATTCTCATGTTAACTATAATTTGGTATTCTTCAGTCCATCCTTTTCCTACGATCTCTTTAAATAAGAGAGGAACCCAAAGTAGTAAGGGTGGGTATTAATTTTTCCAAAAAGTTCCATAAAAGAACCATCACCAAAACAACTAGTCATTCTGTAATTCAATACCAATATTTTTTTGACCAGAGACTGGCTACAAATTATGCTAAAGTAAAGGCAATCTGAGTCTTGAATGAATGGAAACTCCATGGAATTATATTTGGTCACCTTAGCTTTTTTCCTTTACTTCCAAGAAAATAAATCCTCATTGTGAACAATTCAAATCATAAAGAGAAGTATAAAAAATAAAGCAAAGATCTCCTGAAATACCACTTTCCAGAGATAATCATTAACATTTTGGTAAACCTCTTTCTAGATCTCCAAGTCTATGTCCACAGAAGGAGAAGTAGGTTTGAGGAATTTTACATAAACCAGCTCATATTAAAAGGCAGTTGGAGGGATTTCCCTGGTGGTCCAGTGGTTAAGAGTCCATGCTTCCAATGTAGGGGGTGAGAGTTCGATCCCTGGTTGGGGAACTAGGATCCCATATACTGTGCAGCCAAAATTTTTTAAACATAATAAATAAAAGGCAGTTGGACAACCTGCTCTTTTCATTCAACAAAATGTTGAGGGCAATCTTTTTATGTTAACAACTATAGATTTACATCATCCTTTTAAAATGGCTGTATAGTAGTCTGGAATGGATGTAGGATGGAATAAATGAAGAACAAATGAAAGCACTACACATCTAATTTATCACTAGCATTTCTGGAAAAGGATACTTACTTGTTGGAGGGTGGTGGTAAAATTTAGGTGAGAGATTTACGGTTGCATTTCATTACAAAGCTCTCCTGGCTCAAATACCAATGGATACACTGAAGTACAATATTCAAATAGTAGGAATATGTTGTTGGAGAATCAAAGGGTTTGAAAGATTGCCAAATTACATCATTCAGCAGCTGAGTATGTAACGTAACTAAACAGCAACAGTGGCATTTCCCTTCCCTTTAAAAATAATGCTTCACAAAACCAGTTCTGAGAAGATTGTTTTCTGAACACATAGATGCACAAACAGATGTAATTCATCAAAACAGGAAGTGTTTTAATGCTACTCTCAGTGTAAGTAATGCTGCATCCAAACCTCTTACTAAGTCTCACTTGAGCAATTACCCAGCCAGTATTTCTCATTAACACTCATTTCTCAGCAAAGATTTTAATAGCTGATGGCTTTTGTAAGGCTCTGTATTAATAAGGCTTCATTAAGTTTTCAAAATATATGGACTACATTTACTGGAATAATATAAAAGTATTATCATATATCACTAAACAATATCATCTAAATAAATCAGCCAAGCCCATTTGGATAGAGCAGTGGTGGAGTCCAACAATGCTTTTTGGACTCTCTTTAATTCAAATAAAGACCCTGCTATACTCCTGGAAGAGGTTTTACTGTATTTTCGTAAGAAAGGTGAAATGACGCTTCTGTGTCTTCTCCTAAGTTTTAAGACCAAGCTGGGTATAATTTAAGTAGGGAAGACCTGGGCTGCGTATTAAACTCTGACATTGGGATTGGAAGGAAGAAAGAAGTGGTGCTGCCTGAGTTGCCTGGGTGCTCTGTCTGCTGAACACCCACGCTGCCAGTAACACAGGGCGGCCCCTGGAGAAGACGCCCGGCCAAAGGCAAGCAGCCGGGCGCCCTGCGGGCAGAGCCGCGCAGACAGGTGTCCGGGGTGGGGTGCCCCTGGGAGGCCCGGGGGCAGCAGCACGAGCTGAACTGGGTGGAGCAAAGAGGGCATTTCAAGAAGATAGCATCTACAGAATGACCTTGATATCCAGTGTGAAGTACATGCTGACTGTAATTCCATCAATGAGCTAGGCAGCAACTCTGATAAAAACAGAAAAATATTCAAGGCAGGCATGAATATATCCAGACAGAACCCTCAAGATCTAGATAAGGGGGAAAAGGTTTACCACCTAGACATTCAGAAGTTACTGGGGAAAGTTTCCATCTGGTGAACTTAGGAGGAATTGGGCTTCCAGGCAGCACTAGCCATCAGGAACCTGCACGCCAATGCAAGAGAGGCAGGTTCAATCCCTGGTCAGGAGGACCCCGTGGAGGAGGGCACGGCAACCCATTCTAGCACTCTTGCCTGGAAAATCCACGGGCAGAAGAGCCGGAGGAGCTAGAGCCCACGGGGCTGTAAAGAGCTGGACACGACCGAAGCAACAGCTTGCATGCATGTATGTAAGGAGTTATATTTTCTTGGCAGGAAGAAAACTGAACAACAAAATGGAGATCTGTTTTTGTTTGTTCCCAAGAAGAACGCGCAGAGCAAACACAAAGCTCTGAGAAAGCAGGGACCTGCGGCTTCCTGGCTCCAGGTCCCCAAGGCTTAGCCGGGCACCCGGGGCTTCCACACCGGCTATGCGCCGGATGAAGGGGGTTTCACCAGAATGTGCCTCTGGAATTTCAAGAGAACGGGAAACAAGGGGAAATGCGTATCAAGGGCGTCAAAGTGCCGTTCGTGTCACAGAAACCAGTGTTAGCAGAAAGGAACAATTGGCAGGGACACTGTCTGAAGAACCACTGTTGCAAGAGTCCAGTTCACGGACTCGCTGTGGGATTTCACTAAAGTAAATATGAGTCCTGCAGTTACCCAATGCGAAAAACGAAGACTGGGTGACATCTCTAAGGAAACAAGTTTAATAGGAGCCAATTAATATGCTGAAGATATATTCTGGAGGCAAGGATAATGAGAAAACGAACTGGAAAACTAAATTAGGTGAAGAGCAGGAAAAGCCTGGGACAGATTTGGCAGTTGTCATGCTTTAATGGCATGGTGTTAATTAAGCAATTTATTGTATCTGTTTTACATTTTATTCTCTATTGATTTTTTAAAAACCATCATCAAGTTGTGAAGTCTTATTTAAACTTTTATTTGTTTAATTTTTTTTTCTTAGCCTTTAAAGTGATACACTGCATCTCATAAAACATACTTGCATCCTAGGATAGGCAACAAAATTTTAAGTTAACTTGGGGGCGGGGTTGGTAATGTTTAATTTTTTTGTAATTATCAGGAGTAAGGTACTTAAAAAGAAGGTGGGATGGAGATTAATCACTGAGGGTGAAACAAATTCTATTATAAAACTCAGTTATTTGAATTAATTAATATTCATTTTAATCATCATTGAACAGAGGTATCCTTGTGTACTACCAGTCAATGGTACTCAGATTTTTGAAAATGTTTTAACAGCTTGGGGATGAAGAGCATCATGTGCGAAATTCAGAACACAAATGAAAATGAGATAACACAAATGGAAGCATGAAGTTAACACGAGGCTGCTTTCCCTCAAAACCCTGTGCCCTGTTGTCTGAATGCCTTGTGTAAATTAGCAGCCTGAGCAGAGGTCCCCATCGCTCCACCCCGAATCCTGCCAGGCCAGTCACTGACCTTTAAAGGCCCCTCCTTCTCCCCGAACAAGCACCCCTCCCTGCCTGAAGACCTGGCCCTTCCCCCGCATCGCCATGTCTCAGCTCAGGTGGTACTGCCTCTGTGAAGCCAGTCCGCAACCTCGCTCCCAGCCTCCCCCAGGACTGTAGCTGCTTATTTACTGTGTCTCCCTCAGACTGAAAGCTCTGTCAGGGCAGACCCCACCTCCTTCTGGGCTGCTGTGTGCTCAGCAGACCCTGCGTGCCGGCAGCTGGCCCATCATCAGCAAGCAATAAACACTCGATATTTGTTGAAGGAAGGGAGGGTGGTCACGAGGAGGCCTTGGTGGGCAGGTCAGCAGGGAGCCTCCCCCAGCAAAAGCGGACCATGCCACAGACATCAAGACCCTGTAGCATCTACGCTTACCTGCCAGAAAGAAATGTGGCTGTCGGTGTTCGAGTAGGTGGCAAGATAGCGTCCATCTGGGGCAAAGGCCACTGCAGTGATTGGTCCCTTGTGCCCATGGATTGTCTGAAATAAAAGTACGAGCCGCTCACTGTGCGCACTGCAGAGAACTGTTGCGCCTAAACATGCAAATACATTCCAAGGTGAACAAGTCACGTCATGGGTACTAGGAACAGTTACGTTCTTTATTTACAAACTTGTTGTTGTTCAGTCGCTAAGTCATGTCCGGCTCTCGGCGACCCCATGAAGTGCAGCACGCTATGCTTCCCTGTCCTTCACCATCTCCCTGAGTTTGCTCCAACTCATGTCCACGGAGTCAAACTTAGCTTAGAAAAAGAGGCAAAGCAACTGAAGTTCTCTCACTGATTCACCAGGGGCTTTGACCTTGTTCTGGGGAGTCCACCCACTTCCTCCTTGGGAGGATATAGCATGAGTTCAAAGGAAGAGCAGATATTAATGGGCAAACCAATGTGTTCATCTGTTTATGCCTGTTTGAGGGAAGAATTTTACAATTAATTAGAAAAGTTTAAAAAGTTAAAAAAACTGATCACCAAATCTATCCAGGAATTTCATCTGTAAAGAAAAACAATCAAAGCTCTATCACATAACATCTCTGCTCTGGAAAGAGTCAAAAACAATCATTTCAACCCTTTAATAATTATACATTTTTCACATTGTATGCTTCATTTCCCAACAATAACACTATGTTTAAATGCATATGGCTGCAATTAGTACACATGCATGCACGCATGTGTTGGAGGTTTGAACACACATATAAATCAAATGCCATTAAAAACAGGTTAACAGGGATCATTTTGAGCCTCTGCCAAATAGCTATCATTGATTTAACCACGAATTAAAAAAAAAGGATGTGGTATTTTAGACTCAGTCTCTGAGTAAAGGTCTTTACTAATAAAAAATTACACTCATGTCTAATGATATTAATAGTTACCGAAAATACTGGGATACTAAACAAATTAGCATAACACTGTATTAATGTATCTGTACAAACTATTAAAGGTCGTATCTCCACTACATGAACCAATATTCAGTCTGGTCACAACTGGAGGTTGATTGCCTCTCTTGGTCTAGAAAGGATGGGGAGATACGTTCCCTTACACTAAGGCAAACCAGGGAGGCTTGTTTCCACCTGCGTCTTGAGTCTCGGTCAGCGCCGCCCTCCCACCCTGCCTTCCACACCCAGACTGTAAGTTTCAGTAGGACTCTCCTCACAGTTCACATCTGAGTGATTACAACGAGGAAGGGAGAAGGGGATGGGGCTGGGGGGACAAGCGTGTCCCTCTGTGCTTTCAGCTTTTGCTCTTTCCTGTCATTAGACAAGGAGCTGTGGGGATCCAAAACAATGCCTGTTTTCCATACTCAGGAAGAAAAACGTTACACTGGTAGCACCGGGCTTTGGGCTGGCAGAGGACACTCTGGGTCAGACTGCCTGCCCTGTGTTCGGGCCACTGCTCACTGTGGGCCCTGGGGCGAGTTATTTATGTTCCCTAACCTAGAACATGCCCACGCCAACAAAGCAGAGACAATGACGATGATGACGGTGGTGGGGATGATGGTACTGACGGTCCCTGCCTCCAGGAGCCTTGTGAAGATCAAACGAGTTTGCACATGCACAGTCCTCTGCACGACGCATGGCACGTAGTAATCCAATGAATACTCTCAATACTTGTGTTGGTCTTCTTCTAAAGACGACCAGATGTACATACTTGAAAGTTGCTAAGACAGTAGATCTTAAGTGTTCCCACCACGAAAAAAAGAAATGGTGGTTATGTGAAGGGAGGGAGGTGTTAGATAACACCAGGGGGTAACCATATTGCAATACAGAAGTATGTCAAATCATCATGTTGCACACCTTAACCTCACATGGTACATGTCAGTTATATCTCAGTAATGCCAAAAAGAGACTAGACCAATGTAAGCAATCCCATAAATCAATTACTCAAGTACTCCATTTAATGAAAAAATAAATAAAGCCCTAATCATATATGAAACAAGATTATAGATATACTGGGTTTGGCCTGTAAAATGGTTGTGAAATGTATTTTCTGAGCCTATACTCTAATTCATCAAACATCATTTAAAATCAAGATTTCCAGCCTCTCTTGAAACAGCCCGGATTGCCTCCACCCTGGCCACCCTGGGCCCGTGTTTGCCCCCAACACCGTGGGCCAGGCTGAGCTGAGGGGGCCCTGTGGCCTTGTTGGCATTTGCTCTCAAGTCATCAGTCCCAGCGCTGACTCACGTGGGTCTGGGTACACACTACCCACTGCCTGGCCCCCTTATTTCCTGTCTGGTCCCTCACGGCATGCAATGCCACCTCCCTATTAAAAATACTTGATTCAACATAGCTTCTTCGATGCTCTGGGGTCCTGGCATGCGTCTCAAGTGTGAGCATGCTGAGAGCTCATATAAAAGCTTGCCCTGCTTGCAAATCCCCCCCATCCCCAAAAGCCCAACTCCGTACGGGTGGATTCACCCCTCCTCCTGGAGTCTGGGCCCCTAAATCTCAACACAGGATGATAAGCCTGCCTCGTTCCGATGAGCATCCTTCCTTAACCAGCAACCAGAATGTGCTTCAGGCGGGAGCAGAGTGCAGCAGTGCGCGGGGTGTAACCCAGCACTTCCCACAGGGCGCACCAGCCCCACGGCCTTCTTCGTGCGCCTCTCTGTGAGGCTGGCTGAGACGGCTCTGCAGAAGGCCGGACACACAGGCTTCTCATTTTCATGTCTTCATGTGTGTGTTGAGTTGCTCAGTCATGTTTGACTCTCTGACCCTTTGGACTGTAGGCCGCCAGGCTCCTCTGTCCATGGGATTCTCCAGGCAAGAACACTGGAGTGGGCTGCCATGCCCTCCTCCAGGGGATCTTCCCGACCCAGGGATTGAACCTTCGTCTCCTGCAGTGCCGGCGGAGTCTTGACCACTGAGCCCTCTGGGGAAGACCATTATATCTTCATCCTTTATAGTATTGAAAATATCCACTTGAATACTTCTATGTCAGTTCAAGACACTCTTCATTATGTTATCTAGTGTCTCTAACAGAAGATCCTATGAATTAAATTCATCTTGGAATTGTCTGCTAGGAAAATATTTATCTTTTCAGATAAATTTTGTTGCTTTCTCTGATCATGCAACGATAAGTACATAATCTCACACGTACCTGCTTTCCTGCCGGGAAACTCAGAACTAAGTTTATGCTCATTCTAGCCGTCTAGTAATAAATACTTCCCTCCTCATTTCACTAATCACAGTCCTGTTTTCCTTTATTGGTGTTGTCAACATTAGGTGCTAAGCTTAATGCGTTAGTTTCTTTAAAGTCTGTTTTGAACAAAGGAGGACTATTAGAGCACATCAACACACACACACACACCCTGATCCTGCTAGGTGCCCCACAGGTGTCCATGCACACACACACACACACCCACCCTGATCCTGCTAGGTGACCCACAGGTGCACATGCACACACGCGTGCACACACACACCCTGATCCTGCTAGGTGCCCCACAGGCGCGCACGCATACACACGCGCGCACACACACACCCTGATCCTGCTAGGTGCCCCACAGGCTGTCTTTCAAAGCAACATAGAGCAAAACCACTGGGTACTGATGGTAGCATCGGCTGATGGACAGACCTGCAGTTGTATAAGAAAGCAAGTACCACTCATGGTAGCTCAGGGAAGCTCGCTGTTTTTAAATGGTCAGTACATCTGGTGAGTTCACTACAATCTCAGCCTGAGAGGTCTCCAGCCCCCAGTGCAACAGAAATGCTGCCACTGTCTTTTGTTGGGGGTTGCAGGTCTCTGAACTTCTCCCGGACCGGTAAGGATGCCCCTGAGCTGACTGTAGCCTCTGACATCTTTGGTTGGGGGTCTCTGAACTTCTCCCGGACCAGCGCAGGCACCCCCTGAGCTGACTTTAGCTTCTGATGTCTTTTGTTGGGGGTCTCTGAACTTCTCCGAGACTGGTGCGGGTGCCCCTGAGCTGACTGTAGCCTCTGATATCTTTGGTTGGGGGTCTCTGAACTTCTCCTGGACCGGTGCGGGCACCCCCTGAGTTGACTTTAGCTTCTGATGTCTTTTGTTGGGGGTCTTTGAACTTCTCCCGGACTGGTGCGGGCGCCCCTGAGCTGACTTGAACCTCCACTCTGGCGTGATGCAGCTGTGTGCAGATGGCAGTGAACGCGAAAGCGCTTTGTGATTCCGTACACTCAAGGGTTTGGGATTGTAAACGCTCAACTAGAAAGAACCTTTTCCCCAAACAACAGGTTTCCAAACAAAAGGAGGTCGGGTCTGCTTTTTAGATGTGGGTGAGTATCATAGCCCTTGTGATAGGTTTTGTCAGAGAAGTTGCTGTCTTAAAAAGACAGAAATGGAATATAAAGAAATTAATCTAATTCAAGAAGTGCTATGAACAATAAAAGAAATCAAGCAATTATCCCTAGCAGGAGACAAGAATGTTGAATTGTTGAATATCCTCCCCCGCTTTTGCTTATAAAGAAAAGGAACTGAGAAGCAGGATTCATACAGAACAACGCTTCCATGTGCCTGATGGTTTTTAACAGGCACGTTCAGGGTGCTCCGCAAAGGGGTATAATTAACCCTGTCATACAGGGCAGGAGAGACACGGATTTCCAAAATGATTTGGTCAGCATCGACACAAACTAGTACGGCCTAGAATGTTCTCTTTAAAACTGCTGTCTCTTCCTGGACTTCTTGCTATTCAGCTTCTGAACGACAAACTGGAGAACTGAAACCAAAACAGAGGACTCAACTGCACCCACTTCACAGACTGAACAAGATCAAAGAGAACATCTTGTATTAATTTCCAGGTCTCGTCACTTTTTTTAACGGGAGGGAAAAAGCCCAGGCAAACAAAATTTCCTCCTTTTAACATAATTCTAAAGAAACGATGTCCGAGAGTAGGTACAATTTTGCTACCATGAACACCATCACAAGGGAAAGATGTTGACTGACCCGTGTATTTTATATAACACTTATTAAAGTAAAAAAAAAGAAAGAAAGGACTTTGAACTCCGCAGCCCCAGG